AAGTCTCTCGGGCTCTCAGAAATCACAAAGATCAGTCCAAACAAAGATAACATAGTATATCAATAAATATCCAGAAAGACTGAGGTAGAATACGCAAGAAAAATCATGACTGAGTACATGATAATAATTAGCAAATAATTCAACAAGTACGCGACCTCTGTGGTCCCAACAGTACTAACACATAACCTAAGCATGATTTTAATCATGATTTACAGTCAAATTTCTTCAACACAAGGAGAGCTTATAGCTAACAAAAGGTTATTCAACCTTGCAGTTTCACGGGATGGACCAAGTCACAATCCATTCGGTGCACGCCCACACGCCCGTCACCTAGCATGTGTGTCACCTCCAAAATAATCACATGACATAAAATTCGGGGTTTCATACCCTCAGGACCAGATTTATAACTGTTACTTACCTCAACCCGTGTAATTATTTATTCCGCTATGCCCTTGCCACGAGAATTGGTCTCCGAAAGCCTCGTATCTAGCCACAATTAATTCGATTCAGTCAATATAAATTATTGTAATGAATTCCATAAGAAAATACTAATTTTTCCAATAAAATCCGAAATTAACTCAAAAATCGACCGTAGGGACCACGTATCGGAACCCAACAAAAGTTACAGAATATGAACGTCTATCCAACCACGAGTCCAACCATACAAATTTCACCAAAATCCGACACCAACTCGACCCTCAAATCTTCAATTAAAGCCTATAAAAATTTCTAACATTTTCAACCCAATCCTTACCCATTTGAATTAACAATCTTTCCACAACCTTATTGATATGTATACATAATACTCTTACACCCAAGAATCATACTATCAATCACCCATCTTTACTTCAAACCCGAAATTGAAGAATTAGGGAAAGAAATTCTTACCTCTTTGAAGCCCTAGCAAGATCCTTGTGAAATCTTCAAACCTTGAACAAGAATTGATGGATAAATCACTATGTCTTCACTTTCTCTCTCTAAAATGGTCTCACCTCTCTCTAAAATATCAGATTTTTGGCTCAAAAATGAGCTTCAAGGGCTATAAATTGAAGTTGGGTCAGGTCAAAAATTAGAAAGAATGGAAGCTCCGACGCAGTTATGCGATCGCATAACAGGTATGCGGTCCGCATAATTTGGCCTCCAAAGCTGGGCGTTACTGACCTGTTCTGCGGTCAATATGCGGTCCGCATACTTGTTCTGCGGTCGCATAGTGCGCCGCAGATTTTCCTCAAATCTTGCCCTCCTCTTGTTCCACTTTGCGACCATTATGCGGTCCGAAGAGTGATTCTGCGACCGCATAGTGGTCGCAGAAATGACCATTTTTTGATAAAATTTTTCTTTACACTTCGGTGCATTGTTCAACCCAAAAAATTCGAGCCGCGGTCTTTGTAATAATTGATCTACCTCGGCACCACCAAAACTTAATTTCCTTAACAAAATTTCTCTGAGGTCGTTACACATAAGTTAGCATCCGGTCAACCTTTTCAACTTAAATTCTAAACCTTGGAACTAAGCGCTCTAAATCATTTCAAAGCCTCACCGAACCCAAACCAATTACCCTAACAAGCCAAATAACAATAGTAATTCATAATTTGAGCAGTAAATGGAGGAACGAGATTGCAATAGTCAGAACGACCGGCCGGATCGTTACACCGAGTCCATGTCCCAGGCTTACGATGGTTCATGTTTCCTAATCCTCTTTGCGATGAAGTTCTGATGTTAATTGGTCCTATTTCTATCTCCGTGTTCTCATTATAAATTGAACTCATGTTAGTCTTAAACTTATGGTGCACTAAATAAATTGTTTATTCTAATTAATCCTTGTCGCTTTATCTGTCACAGGGCATGCAAATTATCTTACGCCAAGCAAGAATTTGGTCTTTTTTTTTACTTGTCCATAGCCTTGAATGGGGAGAAAAACACACACCGTGAAGCATAAACTAGTTAATATTATATTTTTGTCATAGTCAGCAAATTATAGAAGTTGATCCGCGAAAATAAATGAAATTCTCCTGTGCGCAATAAATTCCGCTGGTTTCACGTGCTTGGACTTTTACACAGTTTACTAGTTTAGGGAAAAGAACAAAAATAATTCCAAATAATGAGATAGCACAACATCATATTACTAACACACGGTGCAAAATCTGCATTCCGCTTGCAAATCTATAATCGACCGCTACTACCATCCACGCTCCTACAGATGATTCCCACCTACTGAAAGCAGCGTTGGATGTAAACAAAATTCAATCATTTCTTATTCTCTATTCATCTATTTTGCTATAGAATTTTTCACTTTGCCGCATCCCTCATCCCCACATTCACCCTATAAAGTCGAAACCAAGTAGCAACAGGAGCAAAGCACCATGTGAAGATAACCTTGTGCTAGTGTCTAAAATTAGCCAAGAATAAAGAGGCCTGCCCCATACAGAAATTCGCAGTAAACATGAAATAAGATGTCAGCGATCGTCTTCTGTTGTTTTTAAAAATACAACCATACAACTGCCAGAGAAAAGCAATAACTAGAACGAATTCTATACAAGATCACTAAGGCCTTCAATTAAAACCCAAATAAAGAACACATCAGTTATGATGTTGAATGAGACCTTCCACGTCTTACACTTAACTATGAGAGAAAATGTGAGCTGCACTAATAGTGTCCTTTTAAACATTTTTTTCTTTTGAAATGCATTTATATCGTCCTTTCATACATAACAGACCAAATTGAAAGGACAGTAACTCTGAAGGAAAGATTTACACATAAAGATTGAGCCTTGAACTCATGATTAGCATAACATGAAAAATATAATACAAATGCAAACTATTGCTATTGACCACAATGTGCTCGCTAACTAGAATTGAATAGTCCCTATGCATGCGCTAACTTCGCCAAAAGTACCATGTCTAAAATTTTAACATCAAGAGTATCATCAACCTTTACAATCCCGTCAGTGCCATCAACACCAATAAGCTTACCAGTAGCACCACGTTGGGGACCACCCATGATCTTGATCTTATCCGACTTCTTTGGTACAACTATCTCAATTTCAGTTGGGTGTACAATGATAGTGTCACCATTGCCGCTCGATCCAAGACCAACGCTACAAGAACCATCCTGCTCCAGCGGCAAGTTAAAGAATGTTGGATTAATTTCCGCGGAAAAAGACAAATTATTCTCCTTCAAAAGGAGGTTTTAACTAAGGTTCGCAGCCAGAAGACCAAGAAGCAGAAGAAAAAACCTCTTGAAGTCAATCAACGTAATCAACCAATCACCTTCACAGGAATATGTATAACAAGTGCACAAGTCTGTTGGTATGCTATGACATGTGTAGCCATTAACATACTTTTATACTCCCTCCGTCCTATTTGACTGGACACGGAGTTTAAGAAAAAATGAAGACTTTTAGAATTTGTGGTCCTAAACAAATTAAAAAGGGGCCCAGAGTATTTGTGTGGTTATAAAAGCTTCTCGTTAAGGGTAGAATTGTAAGTTTAAGCTAAATTGTTACCAAATTTAGAAAGGGGTCATTCTTTTTGGAACGGACCAAAAAGGAAATAGGTTCACATAAACTGCAACAGAGAGAGTATAAGCTAAAATAAACAGTCTGCTTAACCTTATTGGCTTTTGTGTGTGTGTTTGTATGTATATATATATTACTGATGACGGAAGAAAATATAAAAAGAAGTGCCTTGAAAGAAAAACATCTCATGATCTCATCAAAGTTGAAGCGTGAATAGTTTAATGAATTTAAATGCTTGAAAGTTGTGAATATTGTATAGGAATAGAATGATATCAATCATTTGATACGACTCGAGAGTGTAAGCAAAGTGGAGCAGATGGTATATTACAAAGTTCAAGATCTAATCCAGCAAAATCAGAGATGATTAAAATTCATTCTTCTAACATAAACATCGAACCAGCAATTAAAAGGTACGAATTCAAATACAAATATAAATTATAAGTTCGCCATTTTCACTACCATTGCCTAGGATACCTTGAATATATATTTAATAATCACTTTCCAAATTAATATTTACACGTTGAATGCATCTGCTCGGAAGTGGTTAAGAGGTATATATGCCCTTCCCAAAGTTAACACCCTCTACATGTTAATATTTATCACATGCACACCCCATGCCATAGTTTATGAAGCAAATGCCTTCTAAAGGGAAGCCAAATCATCATAGAATATACATACCGCTAGCACGTCATGGACAACTCCAGTGACAGTATCATCATTGGACTTCCGTACATTGACCAAGATATCAGGCAAGAGCCAAGGACCTTCGGTATCCCCACCTGCAATTACAAAGTTACCAACCATTGCTGAAAGTTGAAAACATCATTATCTAACACTCTACTAGACGACAAGAGTGAAGTTGCACGAGAGTCTCAATCAAGGATAAGACAGGTTCTTCAACTAACCATCAAGCAAATCCAATTACAATGATGTTATGATTTACATTTGGGGGCTCACATTTGACTATAGAGATACATCATCAGTAACATCAGACATTTTCATGCAACTCTCTTCCTACTGTATAACAGGTCAAACACAAGCCAATAAAGTAAAAATTTGTATAGAACTATCCAAGAGAATCCAGATATATATATTTTTTATAACCATGGTGTCCGGGCCAGCTAGAGCGCAACTCGACTAATTCCAAGAGAATCCACATATATTGAATTTACCAAACTATACACCCAAAGCTTAAATAATAAGATGCATTTGCAATAATGAACAGCATTACAGGTCATTCTCCTCTTATGCCTAAAGCTTCAAGCTGTAAATACACAACTGTCGGGACTTCTTTGTATTACCCACATTGTGATTTTGATTAATATTAGAGCAATTTTGACATTAATACTCAACAAATATCACTGTGAATATGCAAAAATTTAGCACATTAAGCTAAAAGACAAATTTTCAATCTAATACTGCAAAGGTCTATTACTGAAACACACACTATAAATACCATCAAAAACATGGAAGACGTCTACACGCTAAAACATTAAATTAAAATGCATGAACATGAATTACAACGCCCACTAGTTCATCCTTCGGAAGTGGAAACGAGATCAGCTGATCTCAATAAAATGTTTTCTTTCCCTAGAATGCAAGAGATTATGGGTAAATAACTAATTCTGCAGCGATCACAAGTTTACTAGCTCAATAGAATAAAATGTTTCTCATTTGATCTTTGATATTATAGTAATTTCTTTTTTTTGAATGAAGATATATTATAGTAATTTGTAATTCCAAAAAATACACAAATTATGGTGTCGAGCAGGGGATTCACCTCCTACAGGTGACATCATATCCAGCCCACCACTTCCAGGAGTCATTGGCTGCCCGCCAGGAGTACCAGGTATATATGCTGAGCTCGGTGTCATTGGTGGTTGTCCACCAGGAGTTGACGGCAAGTAAGGACTTGGAGCATTAGCTATATGGAATAAAGGAAAATGGCATTATTTTCTCCAACAAGGAACTGAAAAAGACAATGTAATAGGTTTTCACTCCTGTAACGGAAACTGTTCATTACCATATGCAGAACCGTTGTCTCTTGGGGTCCCAGCATCACTGTAATTACCGCTGGGAGTGTTGGTCCAACCAGAACCAGGAGTAGGTGCTTCATAAGCCCTTGAACGAGGGCTAGACGGCTGAAACATGAAGGAAGCGTCATAATCACATTAAAAGAGAAAACTTCATTTTATATGGAAATAAAGTGGAAAGAGTGAAAACCTGATATTGTGGACTTGACCCCCAGGAAGCAGGGTTTCCCTCTTCCCAATTGTCCCTGGTATTTTGCCATGCAACCATTTAACATCAAGAGAATGGAATTGCAGCTCACTAAATCTATGACAGTAAAAGCAACAAACTGAAATAACAAGACTAATCTAAAGGGAGAGCATGCCACTTAAAAGTGTAATCATGAACACAAATGAAGACCAAAAATCAGCACTCACTATCTAGCTAACACACAAAGGCTTTCAAGTTCAAGACCAAGCCCGATCCTCACCCCTTTATATACAAAGAAAAGAATTTCAGCCATACAAAGAGGAGAAAGTCACGCATCAAAGTACATGGACAGATCCCTATTTCCATAATGTCATACTTCAAGTAAAGAAAAAGCTCTTTTTCATTTCTTCAAACCTGAGATCAATTAGTTCATGTAAAGTAAGAACTAGACAGATACATGGCCTTCACTACTTCTATTTTCAAAAGCTTAAGCCATTTGGATTGTTTTCGCCAGTGATATAACATACCTAGGCGGACTCATTGAATTCCATGCTCTGTCACGCATTGGCGTCCTCATGCCATCATGGATAGGTGTTGCTGTAGAGGAAATTGATTAAAAGAGCTAAAGTCAAACAAGTGGGAAAAAAAGAGATGAAAAACACCATTGAAACATGACAGCAGAAAAATGGACCTCCAGGATCTCTCATAGGTGTCATAAATGGGTGGAGTGGAGTCCTTGAAGGATGTGATGGTGTTTCACTTCCCAAACCATATCTAGATGGTTCCCTATAATAAACAGAACAACAGTAAGATGGTGAACACTCAATAACTCAAAGTTTGCAATCGGAAATATACTTACCGGAATGGTGTTGTCACGTTCACATTATCCGCAATATGATTGCGATCAACTGCAGGAAACATTGCAGTCAGCAATGAATGTAAGCAATCAAAACTTGGAAAAACAAAAAAAAAATCAAAAAGGAAATTTCTGCCTAAATTTAGATGATTCTGTCCAAAATGCAGATTCAGCAAAGCCTCCCTCCACAAAAATTACAAAAAGGGCCCTTTGTTTATAATGAATCACTTTTGCCCCCCTCCTCCCCAAAAAAAGGAAAAAAATAAATGAGGGCAATTACTGACATTGAAGAAACACTTGCCTGTAACAACTTTCATCTGGGCTTCCAGTTCAACACGGACTGAAGTTCCTTTAATATCTTTAACACGCCCCTTGCAACCTTTAAATGGCCCAAGACGAATTTTCACATCAGCTCCAATTAAAGCATCATGCCCTCTTCCACCTCTATGCCCTCTTCCATCTAGAGCACACCAAACATGATAGCTCAGAGACTAATGATTAAACGGAGAACAGCAAAATAAAGATCACAAATGTAACAAATAGCATTTAATATAATAGCCAGATGATCAGATGGACTCCACAGGGGGGAATAAAATTTAAAAAGAAATAACTTAAAACATCAAGATAGCACCATTATCAGAAACTTACAGCTCATAGGTGGGCCACCTCTAAAAGATCTTGTGGGAGATTGAGGAGCACGTGGTGGAGTTCTGAGATTCGCAAATCTTGATGAGAAGGGGTTACCCTAAAGGAGTTCCATTGTAAGCACAAAATTCAGCCCGCAAGACAATAGTTAAGATAGATGTGCAAGATCAGATGAGCTCACACTTCCAGAAGCAAGAAAATACAGACATACATTTCGATCACCATTTGCCCGCGAGCCACCAATCAACACACAAGATTGTGTTTTGGCACAAATATAACCAGCATGCTCAAGGTGATGGCGATCATAAATAAAAACAATTCCTCTGAAGATGTGTTCTACAGGACCTTGTTTTCCCTACAAGTAACAGGAATGGTTATGATGAAAACAAACACCACATATGAACAATGTTAGTAACTAGAAAATCTTTTGAAACGCCAATTACTCACTTTGCATGGACCCTCAAGAACTTTTACCACGTCTTTCACCGCTAACTGGTTCTTAAACCGATCTTGGGCATTCCCTTTCTTCTCAATTTTCCCTTTGATCTCTCTAAGTCTAACAAGTGCTACCTCAGGTCTATCAGGTACTCCCTTAAGGACCTATAATATCACTCAAATGTGAGCAACACAATTAACAGAATAATTCCAACCTCAAAATTATAGTATTCACCTGGAAGGCTTCACTATCTACACGTATAATCACACCAAAACTCTTATTGCTGCACAAAAAAAAATCAATTTAGAAAATTAGCTATTGGTTCGAAAAGGACTAAACTGTTTAATGTTACTCTTATAACAAGAAAGTGCTTACTCTAGTATTACAAGGTCATGGAGCTCATACTCCCCAATACGAGTGAGACCAGATGTTACTTCAGAGCTCTCAACAACATTATCAGCAAATACACGGAGCTGCAGATATAAAAAAATATATGGTATATATCAGATTATTATGAAGGACTTCAGATTAGAGACTCAAATTGCCAGACTTGCTCGACTTACAAGCTCCTTGGTTGTATCTGATACCAAGTTTACCACATGCCCCTCAACAGAAACAACCATACCGGTTGCACCTTCAGATGAACCAGATATTACTTTCACGTGATTTCCGGGCTCAAAGTACTTGCAGAGCTCTTTGTCACTAACAGCCAGAGTGTCCTGCCAAAGTCAGGGAAACATGTTGATGAAAAATATAGTACTCACTCCTTCTGAGACACTTGATGAATGAATGACACATATTTAACACGTATTTAAAGAAGGGGAATACTATCCACCTGAAGTTCTTTCACACTTGGTCTGATATGAACAGTATTTTCCTCAACTTTCTCAACACATCCTTTCAAGTTCTTGAGATCCCCCTTCACCACAATAACGCGGTCACCCTTCATAAAATGACCTTTCTTTCTATTGGAAAACAAAGTAGATAGACTAGCCATATCACCATCCCCACCCTCACCAGGTTGGCGAAACTTCTCAAGTTCATCAAAACTTGGCTGTACGTTCATGGTGCTGATTGATTTCATAGCTACTGTCTTATATAAGAAACCATCTTTGAACAGCATACCTCCGATATTCTCAAAATAGTCACCTGACTGGTGTCGCTTACGCTCTACACGTATATTCATTTCTCTGCAGCCAATGAGAAACAAATTTAACAATATAAAGACCATGGGTTGTGCTCTTGTTGAAACAAGAGACGCCAAGGAACAATTACCTAGCTTCATCAATATTCATAAAGCGTGGCGGAGGAATAAATGCCTTTTNAAATAAAATAAAAGATAACCAATACCATACCCCACATTTCACTATCCACAGCTTAGGATCCCTGACAGATGGCAAGAGAGCTTGCTGCTCAACATCTGTTGCTTCCTCATCATACTCCACATGAGCTGACCTCGCATATCTTTGCTGAATGCTTCTCGTAAGCTCCTCAAGGTCTTCTTCTTGGTCATCATGTGGCAACATCCGGTGACGATATTCACGTCTGGCACCATCCTCGTCAGGTATCTCCGCTCCCCCATCTACTATGAAATCTGCAAACCGAAAAATCTAACAATCAACACCAACCAAAAAAAGCCATGCAGAGAGAGATACAGAAGAATAGAAAAAGTTAATACCTATTAACATTAATTAACAACAAAGTGTCTGATAAGTTCATTCTAGACAGACAAAAATTCAAGCCCCACTAGCTTGGAGCTCATAAATTGGAAAACGAACTTCAGCAACCACAAAGTGGACTGCACATAAACTATATGGAGTATTTCCTACTGAAGATTTCCCTTCATATGGCGCTTATTAAAATGTGTTTTCAATTCTCGAGCTAGTGTCCTTTACTTCATGTCCCTAATATTTTAGTAACATTCTTTTCAGGGACCCCGGTAATTATGGCTTTTTCCCTTTTTGCTGACAATTATGCATGCATTTTGCTTTTTCTCTTGGACCTACTAAGCTTCAGATAAATCTACTCAGGGTACCCAATCTCAAAGCTCCATGGTCTTATCTTAAACTCGGCTTTCCCAAATAACCATAATCATAAATTCATAATAATAAGAGGCTAAGAGTTACGGTTTGATCTTCAATGTTGTCTTGTGAATTTTTGCAGATTTTTAGGTGCTTTATAAAGCTTTACCTTAGCGGTCAGTCTTGGAAATGTCAAATTTACAATCCAGGGCTGCTTTTTTCTTTACTGTTTCCTCTTCTTTCAGTTTATTCTGCTCAAATTGGGACCTAATTTATCTCCAACACTTTTTTCCTCTTTGTGAAACATGTGTTACTTCTTTTGCACTCTTATTCAACCTTTACCTTGTCTTGAGGGTTATTTATTTTTTGCTACCAAATTTATAGGCAAAAAACCTCAAAGATAAATCTAATGTAGTTTTTTCCTAATTCATCTAGAGTTGGTGTTTCCTCTTTGTGAAACATGTGTTACTTCTTGCATACTCTTATTCAACCTTTGTACCTTGTCTTGAGGGGTCTATTTATTTCTTGCTACCAAATTTATAGGGAAAACACCTCAATGACAAAACTAATGTAGTTTTTTTCCTAATTTATCTAAAGTAGTTTCCTCTTTGTGAAACATGTGTTACTTCTTGCGGACTCTAACAATCCACTTGTCCATAAAAAATTTGTCCTTTTCTCCAAAACTCATCTTCAAATTATTGTTTGGTTGTAAATTGGACTGAAGTTTTGAAAATGAGCTTCAGAAATTTTAGAAGATGAGTTTCAAGTTTGAAAATGTGGTGAAGTAAACAATGTTTTTCCTCACAAAAGTACAACATTTTTCCAAGTCAAATACATGTCAACACAATCTCAAATTTCAAATACATTTTCTCAACTTAACTTCAAAAATTACTTTTTTCAAATTGTACATTTTTCTATGTCCAAACGCCTACTTATTCAACCTATGTACCTTGTCTTTAGGGGTTATTTATTTTTTGCTAACAAATTTATAGGTAAAACACCTCAATGATAAATCTGTGTACCCTTCTCTATTTCCTGTTTTCTGGCCTTCAGCATCCATCCTTGTTCTACAGTCAATGGACAAGAACTGTCTGCCACAAAATCCTTGTACTAACTACAGAAAAGCTGAATTTTCTTTCTCAAGTTGTAGTTGCAGTCACATAATAGTTATGGATTACTGCCTGAGTGCCTTCTCCTTAATTCCTTTCCACACGCTTGCACCATATTCCACTAGTCCCAATTCTCCTATACATCAGTAATAACAACTACGCCTCAGTCCAAGCAAGTTGGGGTCGGCGATATGAATCCTCATTCCTTCATTTAGCTCAACTCATCATCATTACCAAAATAAATAAAAATACAAGTAACCAATATATATAATGGTAATGGTAATGGTAATGATATTAATAACAATCACAATAACAATAGAAGTTTTCTATCCAGTCTAAAACATATTCCCAACTAGTAGGTATCACCTATACGGATTTTTCTCTTCCATTATGCCCTATTTTTAGCCAAGTCTATATTGATTCCAATAATTTGTAGATCTTTCGAGAAAACTTCTATGTGATTTTAGGTCTACCCCGTCCCTTTCCACACATTCCCCCACCATGGTTTCACACCTACATACCGGTGCATCTGTAGGTCGACACCAGACATGATCAAACCATCTCAGGCGGCCTTCTCTCATTATATTCTCAATGTGTGCTACTAGCACCTTCAAGCGAATGTGGTCATTTTTAATCTTATCTTATCTTGTGTGACCGCACATCTATCTTAGCATTCGCATTTCTGCAACACTCATCTTGTGGAAATATTGAAATTTAGCAGCCCAACATTCACTGCCATATAACATAATCGGTCTTATAGTTGTTCTATAGAACTTAACTTTCACCTTGGTAGGCATCCTTCTATCACATAACACCCTGGTAACACTTCTTCATTTCAACCATCCGGTTTTAATCCTATAGTAATATCTTCATCAATCATTCCATTCTATTGAAATAACGAGTCTAGATATCTACATTGTTTGCAGGTCTTACTTTTACTTATCTTAAAACATTACTCTCTAAGGTGCTTCTCCATAACTCAAGCTTTCGGTTGACACCCTCGCTAGTTTCGTCAATTAGCACAATATCATCAACAAATATCATACACCATGGGACCTCATCTTGTATTTTGTTGGTTAGCTCATTGTATACATCAATGCTTGAACAAAACTACAAGCCCAAAATTTCTATATTACAGCACCAATCCTAGGCAAGTGAAACCTCTTCAACTTGCCATGCATCAACTCTTGCCACATCTAGCTTTCCTTAAAAAAAACATCATTAACTCTCTCTATTGCCACATCAACTATAGGTTATACTACATACTTTTCCTCACACCTATGATTATTCATCACATATACTCGCCTATGGTATAAACAAGTGCTCCATGTTTTCATATCACCAAAACAATATATACTCTCATTAAGGTGGCGGCTTTTGTATACTGCTTGGATACGGGGTTATCCCCTTTTTCTTTCAATAAAATTATTATCTACCTTATCAAAAAAGAAAAGGATGTGGCCTTTGTAGTCTCTATTGAAGAGGCTGAAGCTTTGTGAAATCAAGAATGAAATTTGAACTTGAGAAATTTTGTTTTTTCAACTTGAAGTTGTGTCATAAGTTTCTCAAATCATCTTCTTCCACTGAAAAAACTATAACTATCCAAACACAACTTTAACTTCCACAAACTTTTTTCGGTTTCAATTTCAAATAATATTTTCCAACTTCAACTTCAAATAAATGTTCCAAGGAACCCTAAATATCAAAGCAGAGCTCCCTCTACCTATTCTCCAAATCCTACTTCATCTGCTCATCCACAAATTCCAACAAAACATTATTTTCAATACATATTTATGATGAATTCTTCATTCTTCGATGCAAGAAAATTAGTAAATGAACAGAATAAAACAAATTAACGACCAAAATAAAACTGAATAGAGAGTAAGTCTAACCGTCTTCGCCTTCTTCTTCCTCCTCGTCCTCATCACTATCTACAGCAGCTTCGAGATCAAAAAATTCTGAACCAGTCCTCCTTTTAGGGCGTCGTCTGCCGCCGCCGCCGCCGCCACCATAATCCTCATCATCATCGTCTTCCTCTTCATCATCATCTTCCTCCGCCACGTCATCAATAAAATCCGATCTACGCCGTTTGCGTCCACTCTTTCCTCTATGATCATCTTCTTCTTCCTCCTCTTCGTACACGTCCTCTTCTTCCTCCTCCGGTTCCACATCGCCATCGTCGTAGTCCCGTTGACGCGGCATAGTGTGAAATCCTCCAAATTTGGAGAGCTTTGTGGAGTTATAGGGAGGTTTCGATAATCTGAGTAGGTGTAGATGTAGAGTATGGAGGGGTTCTCTGGATGTATAGGGTAATGGAACCCTAGGTGAGAGGAGAAGATTTGAGAGTGAAAAGAGAAAATGGTGAGTGGCGGTGAGAGAGACAGTGCGTTTGGGCCTCTGAGTCTATTGGGCTCTATGTTTCTTTTCTCACAATTGTGCTCAATTTGATAGGGAAAATGGTAAAAATAGCACGGCCTAGCCAGTTTTCGGACTGCTAATTGAAAAATAGTCAATGTTTGCACAATTATTAAAAAATAGCCATTATTTTACTGCAACAAGGAAAGTTCTAGCATAATATACTGTAGATTGGTTCACCTATGTATGAACTTCCAGCATAATACTCCAACACACTAGAAAGTTCTAGCATAATATACTAGAGATTGGAGCACATGTGTATGAACTTTCAGCATATTATGTTGAACCAATATATTATATTGAAAGTCCAGTATATTATACTGGAACTCCAGCATATTATGCTTGAATTCCAGTATATTATGTTGGAAGTCCAGTATATTATACTGGAACTCCAATATATTATGCTAGAATATTTTTCGGATTTTGAACTGTGTTTTCGTTCGGATTTATCTTTACATGAAAAGTGGCTAAATTTCGATTACTTTTGAAAGTGTGGCTATTTTTCAATTAACACTTGTAAATATGGCTATTTTTAATTTCACCCGGAAAAATGACATTGTATAGCCGCTCTCAAAATAATAGTCGAAAAAATATATATTGTTGTATATATATATATACATTATATATATTATACACAAATTTTATATACTTTTTCGACTATCAAATATAAATAGTTTTTTACGCGGGCTAAAAATAAAAAAAGTCGATAGCTAGCGACTCTGTTGGGGAAGTTCACAAATAGCCGTTCTTAGGACCCAACTTAGGCTCTAAAGGATCGTTTGGTAATTAGGATGGGAATTGTGATATACAAGGATATCCCATGAATTATTTGGCTCTATATTTCTTTGTTAGAAAGATGGATAAATAGTCTCTACTCAGTTCACTAATCAACATTTAGATATCATTTTAAGATTTTTTAGCTTTAGCCTCTTTTTAATAGGAATTTGGACAAAAAAATATCTATCGATAAGATACAAAAAAGGCCAGCATAATATACTACAGTTCAAAACTTTTACATGTGAAACTTTAACATAATATGCTGGAATTCGAAAAATACTTGGAATTTGAAATGTGAAGTTCAAATTTGAAGAAAAACTTTTATCAATTTAACTCCATAAGAAAAATTCATAGAGCTTGGTCTGTTATCATTCGAGAATAAGATAGTTCAAACTTTTACTTGAATAAGTTTCAACTCCAGGACATTGTCCTGGAATTTCACTTTTATAAGTTTTATAATGAATGATTTTATGGGTGGACTTTAAGAAAATAATTGAATAATTTCATAGGTGGTACCTAAAGAAAATAACGGGGCAATTTCAATTCGTAATGTACAAGAAAATATAAAACTAAAAAAATAAACACGCCCAAGGTGAACAACATAATTATATACCAATCATACGGAAGGACGAGGTCTCTTGTATAATTTCTGGTCAGAGAATTTGTCTTTTCCATACTTTATCTCATTATAGAGGAGTCGTACACTTACGCTCACGTAGTCTTATGATGCGCGCGTTGCGGCTGTACTCTTTTTTGATAATCATAATTTTCAAAAAATACATAAATATTATATTAAAATTATACTTGAGTTAAATAATAGAAGGTAAAGAAAAAAGTAAAAGTCCCTAAAAATGATAATTTTCTTATCATATTTAGGCAACTCAAACACAGGAAGAAAATATGCACATAGAAGTCCTTGATCAGTTTAGTTGATATATTAAATTAAAATTTACTCTAATTTTTGTAAGCCCCCGTGAAATTCTTCCAAAAAAAAAAAGAAAAAAAGAAATCGGGGTTCTGTGATGCCGAGGCACGCGTAAAGGTTAATAACAGTAGAAATTCTCTGCGGTGAGTTTGCGAGCCGCGGTTCGGACTTTTTGGATTGAACAGTGCGCTCGGGAGTTGAAGAAAAATATTGGGCGGAAATAGGTATTTCTGCGACCCATTCTGCGGCTGCAGAATCACTTTGCGGACCGCAAAATGGTCGCAAAGTGAGTCATTTTTTCTGGGTCATTTTGATGTCATTTTCGCGGTCCATTATGCGACCGCATAACCATTTCATGGGCCGCACTTTGATCGCATATCCAGTTTTGAGATTTTTCGGAGAGAACAGGTCTGCAGGCCGCATAGTGACCGCAGACCCAGTCAGTTTCTTTCCAGTTTTGGCACACAATTTGTGCGGCCGATATGCGGACCGCATATCCTGTTATGGGGCTTCATGTTTGGGGTTTTTTAACCCGATCCTTCTTCGTTAAAATATATATCATAGCCCATTTTGAGCACATTTCTAATATTTTTAGAGTGAGAGAGAGTTCTTATAATGGGGAGTAACCTTCAACCTATTATGCATCAATTCTTGCTCAATCATTGAGGATTAACAAAGGAAGTCTTCATCTTAAAGGTAAGAATATATGTCATATCTCTCAATTTCAAAAATTTACAAAAATAGGATGATTAGATAGACAATTATTGGGTGTGGGGGTTGTTGTCTTACATGCATGTGTTTTTGAAGTATGTGAGAATTTTGTGAGCTAAAAATGGAAGAGAATGCGTTGGGGAATGATGGAATCTTTTACAAAAAGGGCCTTAAAGCATTGATGCACACATAGTTTTTGATAATATGCTCAAGTGAGCTAGAATCATGACCATCTTCCTAATTTTGGTCCAACTTGTTATATTTCTAAAATAGATCGAAGTTTTAAGAATTCTGGAACGTTTTAGAGTTTAAAGGAAGCTCAATTGAGGTATGTTGACTAAACCCCCTTCTTCTTAGAATCGAATCCTACGGTGTTCGTGTAATTGGTTTAAGTCCTTGATCATTGTTGAATTGGCTATTCTTAATGTGGTTGTGTTGAAGGATGTATGTTCAATATTTATTCTAAATGCTTCATTGTGTCATCTTACCATTTAAGGAAGTGTTCAAAATGTGAAATATGTGTTAGAAATGTTAAGACTTCGAGTCAAGATCGAAATAAAGGTTGTTATGCCAAATTGTACGAAAGGCCTCTATGTGCTTAAGATTCCCAAATTGCTCATATATGAGTTTAATGTCTTGAATGGGAAGCCTTATTGTTGTTGATAATGATAATGATATTTGAATGTGGAAAAGGGAACTGAAATTATGAAATATGGACAAGTGCCAAAAATGACTTTGTAATCGTGATCACTAGAGCCAATGAATAGAAAAAGATATGAAAAAAGTATGATGTGAGATGATTGAGTGAAAAAGGTAATGTCTTGGGTGAGACGGCCTAGTTGATCGGCCCGGGATCGGACGTCATGCCGCACACATGGTGGTGACTGTGCTGAAAATGATAATTGAAATTGTGGTTATGGTTGATTTCTCAAGTGAGACGACCTAGCCAATCGGGGTTATGATCGGACTCCGTGTAAGAATACGGTGGTATTGTGAAATGTGAAATATCAGCACTAAAGATCACCCAACCTAATAACATGGAAATTGACTTGAAAACTTATGTGATCCTTAACTTGATGTCTTAATATTATCTGAAGCTCTTATTGAATTCTTGATTGTTCCCCTTGTACTATTATCCATTCTATTGAGATGGTATTTAGCTTTACATACTAGTGTTATTCGACGGTACTAACGTCCCTTTTTGCCGGGGGGTGCTGCATCTTTAAATGGATGCAGATGGTTACATAGCAGGCAGTGTTGATCAGCGATAGTGGCACATCCTCTTCCGAGCAGACTTGGTGAGGCCCACTTCATCCCGGGGTCACGTATTGTATCTTTTGTCCATATTATTATTACGTCTCAAGGTATAGCCGGGGCCTTGTCGCCGGCACTATCATAGACTCTTTTGTATCTTTTAGAGGATCCGTAGACACTGTGTGGGTTGTATATGGGTGTTGGAATGTTAAACAAGTTATGTGTTTGATCACTTGTTCCACTCAAACTATAAGAATATATGTATTCTGAGACTTAAAAGTGAAGTAACTAACGAAACGATTTAATATTGTATGTATGAACTTCCTACTGCCAAATTAATGAAATCACGTCGTTTCTTGATAATGGGTGAGTTGGGTAGAAAGTATCTAACAGTCTTGTTCGACAACCATAATTTTATTATTTATATTTTAAAGTTATCAGGCCTTTTTTTTAGTTTATGGACACACACTTTAGGTGTCTTCCTCATATCATTGAGTATACATTTTTAAAAATTACATAATATTAGTATTATATAATATGTTTGAGTAATAAAATATAAATTAAAGAAAAAATGAAAGTTTAAAAAATAGGATTTTCAATCACATGTAGTTAGTTTACTAATGAAAGAAATCATGCCCCCGCAGAAGTCCTCATATGTCTTATTGTGATTTTTGAGGACTTTATGTGAGAATATTTGAATATTATTGTTATACATTTAACCTACAAACAAATAACACAAAAATACTTTTATTATGATTCTGTAAAGATTTGTCAAAATAACATAAATTAAAATTTTTGAATACTTTGATCTTTTTAGAGATTTTCGAATAGTTTGGTAGAATGCATTAGATAAAATAATGCATGCATTAGCTTTATATATTAATAATACCTTGTTTGGTACACTTTTGAACCTATGCATTAATTATGCAAGTATTAATTATACACTCTGTTTGATATTATTTCAGGCATAACTAATGCATAAGAAACCATGATATTAACAAAATTTATATTTATGCTTGATTAAAATATACTATTATATTAATGCAAGTTTGAAATAATCCAAGAAAGTAAAATAAAGTTATATCCCTAGTAAATAAATAAATACTTAGAATATTTTTTTTATAAATAAATATTCAGTCCTACACTACAATATAGGTTGACATATCAAATAATTTTTTTAAAATCTTTTTCATATAAAAACGTTCCTCAATATATGTTGTAGACATCCAAATTTTATCGCGGATCAAATCCATATGAAATTTGGACAAAATCCTAAATTTAAGATACTACAAGTAGTGTCCATCAAGAATTTCT